ATTACATTATGAATAACACTGCGAATTCATTTAAATTCTCTAAGGATTCTCCTAAACTGGAAGCAAGGCAATCTGCTGCAGCAAAATCACAAATCACCAATTCCACTTACATTATTATTCTGATTGCCACCGCAGTTGTGAATGCACAAATGAATGGTATTGTACCCAGCGTGACAAGCTATGCATCATTACCATACTCTCAGGTGCGTTGCCGAAATTCTCTCATTGCTTCTCTAATGGTTGTAGTTACAGGCAACATATCATTACGGTCTGGCTCTAGCAAATGTTGTGTCACCTACAATGTCTTTCTTGCCTTTCTTCATCACTACAAAGTCCGTTTTTTTTATTTTAAAATACGTTGTTTATTTGTTACGAATCATATTTCACAGATCTATACCGATTCTGTGCGCATTGACTGTGTGCTCATCAATTGTAACATCATTCATCATATTCTTGGCCGCGCTAAGTCCCAACCTAATCTTCGATTCTCACATAATAGGCAGTTGTCTTGCAGTAAGTTCAATCCTTTCGCCAAACAACTCGCAGTTACAGCACAACTACATTAAACTATGCAGGTTGGTGCTTCCCTGCTTGCCGCTGGTCTACACTCCTATCTTCGCGTCGTCTTCGCATCCCTACTGAGGCAGGGCGAACAAAGTGAAAGCAGGCTGTTCTGGTGTGGAGTATTTATTCAAGTGAGATTTTATGCCAAGGTCAAACCTATTTGTTTTCGCTTGAAAAGCATCAGTTGATTTTCAGATAGGATCATTTGCTGGTTCAGCAGTAATGTTTCCACTGATCAATTTTGTTCACATATTCACCTCGGCGCCACCTTGTCGATGAAGTTTGCAAATGACTTTTTCTAAATGAAAACCATTTTAAAGCTACTACACATTCATAGTCCCTAAATTTTCTTATGTCGTTGTTTGTTATATATAACCTTCTCATATCATTTATTCCCAAAGAATGTATACTCTTCATATGGAAGAAAACTATCATGTGGGAAATACCTCAGGTTCTAAAAGTTTAAAGCTCCAAGTAAAATTGGTTTTTTTTCTTATGTTCTGATATTAATAATTTAATCCTTGCAGAAGTATGTTATGAAGCCAAGGGGCTATTATTAGTCCTTAAAGAAATGAGGAATCGATATTCGTAATCAGCCTCTTGAATCTAAGTTTTTGTTACACTATAATCCTTTATGACATAAAAAATCAGAGTCATCTTCGGGCATTATTATACTATTTTGATGAGAAAATTTTAGTATACACAGTCAAAGGTATACATTTTTTGGGACAACTCTTATTTCTTATTAACACTAATAGTCTTCACATTTTCGTACTTTTGAGCAAATTATAACTATTATTATTGAGTCCTTTCTGCTATCTAATAACAAGTTTGCAATAAGTATCCATTTCTTAAACATTTTCACACTGTTAGATGATTATATCCTACGGGCTTAACATCTCATAGTCAGGTCAAGATTGTTTGCGCAGAGCATTTCTTTTCAGTTACTCGCAGTTATTATACTAACTTTTTTAGAATTTGAAAATGTGTGTCTTTAAACAAGGATTTTGTTCGCGTAACTATCTTTTTTACTTCACTTTTATTGCCTCTTTGTTAAATCTTTTTCCATATGAAAACAATAATCTGATTGTCAATTTCTTTTTCTTTTATTTTCATTCATAGGACTTTGTAGGTTTTACTTCTGCATTACAATGATTGCTTTTAATCTCAACATATGTAATTAATTGTCTCACATATGTTTGTACATAATGTGATAATTCAGCTAATTTTATTGTTTCTATAATATCACTGTGATGTTTTCTGCAGATGTGTAAAACGTAACAGTTTTTTTTTCATACAGAATTATTTGGTCGCTTTGTCGTCACGGCCTGGGAAGAGATTTCAAAGGACTGAAACATGTTATTGATCTCTTGTAATCAGTAGAAGCATTTACCTGGAAAAACCGTGTCATATCATCTAGTGTCACGAGACCGTCACCGTTGTTATCCAATTCCTAAAATAGATTTTCGTTAAGAGGCATTGTTATTTTCTTAATTCTATGTCATTGTAAACATAAGCTCGATATGTGGAGCTGCAGCACTACTCCGCTCACTAATTAGGCTGAGCGCAGGGTAAGACTCATTGGAAGAAAATCCGGAGCTGATAAAAAGTACCGTGCGCTATGTTCCCTTAGTATTAGTACAGGCGAGGGTTATGTGGATTATTCCTAATAATTGAAAGTGAGGAATGAAGCAATTTAAGGGTGTAAGCGTTGCGTGGTTTCTGCTGTTTTCATAAAAGGTAATGGTTGATTGATTTTGTTGGATTGGAGAAAGATATAAAATGATGAACCCAAAACGCGAGTGAGATGCAAAATGATATGTAAGGATAGTGCTTCAACGACTCTTTAATTGTCAAACTTAAGGCCTGTTTTATCGGAAACATCGAAAGCATAGTCATAGCATGTGTTTGCGATTGATGGGATCTTGCCTCTGATCCTCAAGCAAAGCTGATTAACAATTTGACCCAGACCTCGGCGGCAGGTCTCCGGAAGGCAAGCTGGAATTCGTTTTTGTGGAAAAAGCAAAGGGAACATCGTATGGGGTCCGGAGTTCAATCTCAACTAAGACCGCTTTCTCCACAACAAAAATGCTGAAGCTACCTCTTCCTCCCCCC